ACTGTTTCCTTCAGTTTTTCATGCTTTTGTTTTTTCTTGACGGACTACTGTTTTCGTTTTTTTAGGTATGGAACTCCGTGGAGCAGAGAGCACAGGTGGAAATGCTCTGCGTCTGTCGGATGAAGTCAAGACAGCCTGCGACTGCGTGGAGTTTTCGTGGAAACAGGTATTTACTTTTCTTTCTTTCCTCTTCGATAGTCTCATTCAAATAAGTGTATATTGGCTATGTATAATCCAAGTTACTCGTCCCGAACTTTTCTTTGATTCATTTATGGCTGCATTTTCTAGGACTATGGAATTTTGTTTGGGTCAAAATACACTTTTTTGATGACTCCCCAACGGGACGCTACGCAGCTGCGCGCGGCTGCATTAATGGGATTCACGTTAGCCAATAATGAGAAAAAACGAAGCACATGTGTTGTAGCTGTTCGGTATCAAATAAGTGTATCGTAGTGATATTAATGATAATCAATAGTATGATAATGGTAATAAGAAATAGTATGCTTGTTCCATCAAGCTTGCTTTTCAGTTTTTTCGCAGTTAAATTTTAGCTGAGTGGATATTTTGTAAAAAAAGGCGCCCTCTGCGTATCGCCCATGGACGCGCGGCGCGACCGCTCATGGCTGCGCTCGTGAAATCGTGTTACCTCCTAGTGCGCCATAGAAGCATGCAGGAAACTTGGAGTAGCCAAATAGTTGGCTATCAAATGAAAACGAGAATAAAAGGGAAAGGAGCATGTTCTGTTTTGATTCTGAGCGCTACTACCCCTCAGCTGCTTTTCAATACTACTTGACTGCTCTGAGACGCGGAGGGAGGTCATGTGGCCGCGCGACTGTGCTTGCTTGGCTGCGCTCTCCTGCGTTGATAATGGTTCCTGTCTCTCCTAGATAAAGATCCATTGCGTTATAGCTGCAGTCAAATGCTGCGTTATACTTTGTGGCAGCAGCGTCCACCAGTGACCACCAGCGCTCACGCAGCGTCCCACTAGAAAGCCATAAGATATCGATCCAACGAACAGCAGCACCGCGTCCACCGGCGTCTGCTAGTGACTAGAGAAGTATGAACATCGATCTAGCGAACGGCAGCGTCCACCAGCGTCCAGGTGAGAAGATTATGGGGAAGTAGGAGGGAGCAGACAGCTGGATTAGGCGCCGTGGAATTCGGGTGTGGCAACTGCACCGTACTACTACATAATTACATAACTCTATGCTTTAGCAGTTGTACGGTGCGGTTGCACACGCCGCAATTTCACGACGCCTGATCCAGCTGTCTGCTACCCTCCTACTTCCCCATACTCTCCACCCTTGGACGCTGATGGACGCTGGACTTCGCTAGATCAATATCCATACTTTCTTAGTCGCTAATAGACGCTGGTGGACAAATAATGAACATAGTTTAGCGCCCAAAAGACCATTATGGTGGTAACGGTCTAGTTTTGCCCTGTACTCCCCTTCTTTCCGTAGCCTCTACTCTTTTTTCAGATTTTTAAATATTTCTTCAATAAGTCTAATGATAGTGAAAAATGATTTTGGTAAAAAGTCTTGAATTCAGGAACCTGCTAACGGTGTCCGTTTACCGTTGTATCTCTACGGTGATCGTCGTCAATTGGTGGCATCGCTAGCGTTTGACGTTTCGCCAGCTACGGCGTTCTACGAAAGAGGAGTGGCCCTCGTTGCTAACGCAGCCCTTAGTTAAGCTATAAATTAGCTATTTACTGTAATTATAATTAGTTGTATCGATCAATTTCTTCATAGCAGAATAATGTAAGCTTTTCGAGAAAAATCTGGTTGAATTCACTCTTGTTAATATACTAGATGATATGCTTCATCGCTGTTGCCCCAAACCCCCCTGCCCCGTTTGTCATCAAACACTCACCACCTTTCGCCCCTCCCTGTTGATAATTTATTAGACATAATTTATTCACGACAGTCTCTTTACGGATTTGTTGGCACACGGTTTTCATATGTGTAAAATGCTTCGTAACTTGTAATAAATCGAGCTTCTGTAGATGGTCTTCTAACTGTGGACGATTTCTGGAATTGGGCCAACTATTGTTGCTGTCCTATTTCTTTAAGGTTTTGTAAGC